GCACTGACCTCCTGTGAGTTTCTGTATGTTTGCTGACAGGGCCTGAGTTTAATATGTAAATTCTTGGCCATATCAGGACAGTATGCCGGTGTGTATATATCGAAAACAACTGCAATAGGAAGTACTGAGTAATGTTGAGCATTCGACTTAGATTAGGCTATTGCACAGTCTATTATGCAGTATATATTATATTGAGTGCAGCGTAAGAACATCTAGTGATTCAAATATCATTAAAGGGAATGTATACCACTTGTTCGGGTTTTGAAAATGTGGTGGTAATGAACAATCAATGGAGTTTTATTACTATAAAATAAATTACTGCTTAACTAATGAGATATGATTGTATATGGTAAATGAAGTAACTTTAACACTCATTCTCAGGTCCTTTGCTGTCTTCTTTTCAAGTACACCAAACGCATGTCCTGTCAGTGAACTGGTGAAGTTGCCCGTTTGATCCGATCGTGCTGGTTTGTTTTTGAGACTGTGAGGCTGAAACTCTCTTTGAAACGTCACATGAAGAACCTCTGAAATGTTTCCCAAACCCAAATGCCTCTGATACCACACTCAAGCCTTTTACAGTATTATTTTCAAAGTGCCTTTTATCTCAGTATCATGTTCTCCCACAGTGCTGTTTATGACTTATTTATTAAATAATGGACAAAAAAAAAGTGTATTTTCTTTCTTTCAGGTGTTTCATTTGTGGAAGGGCTGTAAATACTGTTAGGTCCGTAAAATTTGTGGACGATAATTCAGTTTGTTTAATTTTGCATGTGTAAACAATCACAGCGGAGTGTAAATGAAACAGTCAAGTCGATATGTGATGGAAGCGCAGACTTTCAGCTTTTCAGCTCGCATGAACTGTTTAGGAATTATGGACATTTTTATGCGCAATCACAAAATTTCAGAGTCAAAAGTAATTGGGGAGTTGATTGAGAAGTATAAGAGTTATTGTGTTTTCTAATTAGTTTTTATTTTATTTCATTTTTTTTTTAAATTTCATTTCAGTTTAGTTTCCACAAAGGTTTGATATTTCTTCTATATTTTTATTTGAGTTTAGTTTTCCAAGTTCACAGTATCGTTTCAGTTAGTTTGAATTATTTTCCAAAATTCGAATTATCCCATCAGCTGCAAGTGGCTTGGGATAGGCACCAGTTTAGCTCGGGTGTGAGCATTCGACCATATGCAATATAGCCGGAGAGCAATAGGCCTGGGTTCCAGTTTGACCAATGGCTCTTTGCTTCATGTCTTCCATTTCTCTCTCCCCACTTTCCTCTCTGTCTTCACTGTCCATATTCAACCCCC